AAGGAAGACCTAGAACTCCAAGGCCAGGTTTAGGAGGTCCAGGCACACTGGTACTCTGGGCACCTCTGTAGTAAATTGAGCTGAATCAAATCAAGTCTCCTGGAAACTCAGAGACAAAGCTTATAACTAAGTGTCTGCCCTCGTCCACAGTGAATCAGACTGGGCTTCATAAGGCTTATTTGTAACCAGATAAAACATGTGTCAGTCATTCACCCTGCATGTGACCTGCAACACCACCACAGAAAACACATTTCAGGCTCCCATACACTTAATCTTCATCAACATTCCCTTGCAAACCACAGTAAATCAATAACAGACTTGTTAATACAGACTTCTTTATGTTTTGTTTTAAAAATTAGTGCTTAAGCAGCTGGGAAGGTGCCTCAATTGCATGAGGCCCTGGGTTTGATTCCTCAGCACCACATAAGTAGAAAAAGCCGGAAGTGGCGCTGTAGCTCAAGTGGTAGAGCGCTCGCCTTGAGCTGAAGAGCTGAGGGACAGCGCCCAGGCCCAGAGTTCAGGCCCCACGACCAGACCCCCCAGACCCCCCCCAAATAAAGAAGGGCTCCAATGATGGTGGCATTGTAGTGGGAGCCCCGCTTCTAATTGTTCTTTCTGCCTCCCAGATTCTCTCTGTCGCCCTGTGGTCAGGGAAGCTGGTGCCATCAGCCAGAATCCTGGCTCCTGCTCTAGGGGTGGGATCAGCCAGACTGCCCTTCTGCCCTGAATTGAGTTGAAAAGGCAGTGTGATGCCAGAATAAGCCCTATGGACAGCTTTAGTTTCCTCATCTGTCAAATGAGGATAATAAGGCTTACTAGAATTGCTGAGTATTAAATAATTAGCAGTACCAGACACATAAAAATCTGAAGAGCAAGGACACAAGTATACCTCTTTCTTCCACTTTAATTTTGTTAATTGAATAGTAGGTACTGAGTATTCACAGAGGAAAGGGAAGTCACAAGTGGGGGGAAGTTGACTTTGGGGAACACAAGCAGGTGGCAGGTGGCAGATGGCATGATGTTTCTCAGTGGAATAGCATCCTGGGTTTAAACTTTAACCTCTGTTACTTTCTAGCCCTGTGGCCTTCCCCTGCATCATAAGGTTTCCTTGAACCTTACTTTCCTTTGTCTATAAAATTGGGGAGCTTTATCGAGCACCAGTGGCTCATGCCTATAATCCTAGCTCCCAGAAGTCTGAAATGTGAAGAATAGCACCCAGGCCCTGAGTTCAAGCCCCCAGATTGGGGGCTGGGCGTGGAGAGGAAGCTCTGGTTGACACCAATGGTTCACATCTGTAGTCCTTACTACTCAGGAGGCTGAGATGTAAGGCTCATGCTTCAAAATCCATGAGGCTCTTATCTCTAACCAGCAAAAAGCTGGAAATACAGCTGTGGCTCAAGTAGTAGAGCACCAGCCTTAAGCAACAAAAGGTAAGGGAGTTGACGTCCCAACATCTGCACACAAAATAAGTAAAATAATAAAATTGGGGAGCTGGGGAAGGTTCAAGTGAGTATCCAGCAAGGCCTAACCACAGCGAGTGTGTGGTAAGGAGGTGTGGGCACAGCATACAGAGCACTCTACCATGCCAGGGGCACCATGAGGGCCTGCCATGTCACAGGAAAGGTTTACTTGGCAGTTCAAATGCATGATGTTAAAGAACATGATGTTCTTTAAGGACATTATATGAAGAAAAATGAATGTATGAGAGACCACAAATTGGCAAATTCCTATTTAGGATGAAACTTTGAGCCCCACTAATGACAGATAGTGATGTGTCACTGAGTGATCACTGAACTGTGGCAACTGGACAGAGACTACCACATGAACTCCTCCTGACCTCTAGCCTTCCAAACCAAGAGGCCTGCAGACTCCAGGCTTTCCTTCAGGAAGGCATCTCCTTGCAGTTACACAAGCCAGAATTCAGGCTATCAGCAGTAGAGTATTAGAGATGGAGTATCCAGCTCCAGCCGGAGCCAGACACAGCAGCCAGGCTGGGGACATATTGGATAGCCACATGTTTTATGGCATACTGAAGTATCACCAGTGCCCTCTTGTGTGTGTGTGTGTGTGTGTGTGTGTGTGTGTGTGTGTGTGTGTGTGTGTGTGTGTGTGATTGTACTGGAGCTTGAACTCAGGACTTGGGCGCTGTCCCTGAGCTTTTTGCTCAAGGCTAGTGCTCTACCCCTTGGGTAGCAGCCCCACTTCCAGCTTTTAGACTTTCCTGCCCAGGCTGGCTTTAAACCATGATCCTCAGATCTCAGCCTTCTGAATGGCTAGGATTATAGGCGTGAGCCACTATCACCTAGCTTCCAGTACCCACTTCATGCTTCTCTGCGGCTTTAGTGGCTGTCTCTGATGGTTGGTTTATCCCACTTGTGCCATGTCCCACTTCGAGCCTGTCCTGCCTCTTTGCCTTTATTCTGTCTCCATCCTCTGTGACGAAGTCTGCGAGCCCAAACAGTTGGAGCCACGCTGGATGAATTGTTGCAGTTGTCCCTGTGAGAGCGCAGGAAATGAGCATGCTCTCAAACTGGTTCAGGAGGCCAGCAGTCACTGCAGCCCTCACGTGGTACTCACTCTACCAGGCTCTGCAGACAGAGCTGTGGGCATGCTGTCTGTCTGTCTTCCTGTCTCCCAGGTTCTCTGTTCCACAGGCATCCATCCTGAACCACATGGCAGTGACCAGAGACAAAGTCACTTTGGGCAGGGTGGTATAAAGCATCGAGGACACTGCACATTGTCAGCCACATCCAGGAGAGGGGAGACAGCTCCCAGCCAAGGGAGACAGGAGAGGTCCAGCAGCCTGGGCAGAATTCTTTGCCTCCTAACTACCATCAGCCCTTCCTGTAAAGGTGGAGGAATGCCTGTGTTGCCTCCATTCCCCTCCTGCCGTTCCACTCTGCGTGTTTCCAAACAGAGATAGAGCATATGGCTCCAAAGTCACTGGGCATTCTGGCGAAAGTGACACTGAATTACCCCAGGCTTGGGGATGTGGGAGGGGCCCATGGTGCTTAAGCACAGCTTCTCCCTTCATACTCCAGGAGGGCACAAGGTCACCTTTCCTGAGCCTCAGGGAGAAGAAGTGTGGACACTTGGACTTCAAGAAAGATCTCCTGTCCAGGCAGACATCAGAGAAGGCAGGCAGACAGTAGGCATATATGGGGGAAGAGAACATATGAAGGCCTTAGCCCCCACCCAGGCCTATGCCACCCATCTCCCCTAGCCCCTCCCAGCCTCTGCTTCCTTGGGGCTTGACAGAGTCCCTACAGAATGCCAAGAGCAAGTCACAGGACACGCTCAGCTGGGCTCCAAGCTTGGCTGTACCATGACCTTGGGAATCTGTACCAGGTGTCCAGGCACCCTCAGAACTGAGCTTCTCAGCTCCTCTGAGCTAGATCCATGCTCTTGCTCCTCAGGACAATGTCCCTTACCTGAATTGGAGGACTGTGAGGGGACACAGCCCAGGCTGCAAACTCCTGGCCTTTTTTGTCTTGTCCCCAGAGACATCTCAGTCTCACCTGAGGTCCATGCAAACTGTGCAGCCCCCTTTCCCTACCCCAGCCTGGCCCTCTGCAGCTCCTGCCATTGCTGGGATTGGAGCACCATGGCCATATTCCTCCTGGCTGTGCTGGAGAGAATGTAAGGTTATTGCCTGCAGTACGGGGCGTTGAGCACATTCCCAGGGCCTGGCTATTTGCCCAGCTGCAGATCATGGCCAGGTGTTTTAGGAAACAGCCCCTGAAATCCCTGTCTGGGATCGGGAATGGGTCCCAAGAGGGGCTTAGAAAGAAGAGAATAAGAGGGAGTCACAGTCAGAAGCAGGGCAAGAACAGAAGCTGGGGGCTGCCACAGGAAGTCCTCATCTCCCTGTTCTCTGCTCATCCACTGTGGCTTTCTGGGTCTGTTGTCTCTCTGCTGGCTACAACATGTTTAGTAGACCAGAACACCAGCGGATATAAATTCCTTAGGCAAGAAGCCACTTAGGGAGAAGGAAAAGAATACTTCACCAGTCTTCCTTTTGCCTGCCACCTGTAGCCAGGGTGGCCCTGTGGCTGTCACGGCTTTCTTCTTCCCTTGCTGAGAACTCCCAGGTGGCTCTTAGATTGCAGGTGTATATCTTGCTACTAAATATAGCCTGGCCTGTCTGTGGGCTAAATAGGTTACTCTCAAAGACAGGCCGTGTAGAAACAGAATTGGCCCCCTCCAAAGTCAACTTCGCAGCCTTGAATGGTCCACATGTGCCAAAGCATGCCTCTTCCCATCGTCCTTCTCTTGGCCCATTTTCCCTTCCCTCCAGTTGCAGGCTGGGATTTATTTACAGGGAACCCATAGAAGAAAAAAAAACAAAAAGGGATTCACAAAGCATCTGGCAGGATGAATGTTTGGTCCCTAGGCAGCAACAGACTGGAAAGCTGGCCACACAGGGGGTGGGCCTTAACCGAGTATCTGAGAAGTGATGCAGAGCCGAAGAAGAGCCAGCAAGAACATGGAGTGAAGACAGACGCACCCTCAAGCCTTGCAGAGCAGGGAGCAGATGCATGATGGGAAGAGCTCCAGACCCGGGCAGCTTACTGTCCCACCGTGGGCCCCAGTTACCTAGGCTGAGAAATGGAACTGAAAGCCGCCTTCCTTATCATACTGTGTTAGGGAGAAAAAGAAAGAAAAGAAAAGAAATCAGAGCCAGGTACCAGTGGCTCAATCCTGTCATCCTAACTACTTAGGATTGTGGTTCAAACCAGCCCGGGCAGATTCTTATTTTCAATTAACTACCAAAAAGTCAGAAATGGGGCTGTAGCTCAAAGTGGTAGAATGGTAGCCTTGAGCAGAAAAGCTCAGAAACGGCACCCAGGCCCTGAGTTCAAGCCCCAGGCCTGGCACACAAACAGGCAAGAGAAAGAAGGAAAGAAAGACATCAGCTGTAGGCTGCCAGCAAACCATGGGTTGTTTTCTTCCATATGACATGTAGAGACTGGTCTCACATCTACTCTTCTTCCCTGCAGGGCCACCCGTTCATCGTGCAGTTCAACGATGGAAATGCAGCCGTGGTGTCCATGTGGGTGTGCCGGGCACTGGAGGAGAGACGGAGCCAGCAGGGGCCCCGGGAAGCCTCCGTGGGGCGCTGACCACTCAGGACCACTTGCTAAGAAGCAGCCCACATGGGGCTCCTCTTTGTTGCCTGCTTCAGAAGAGCTTTGCTGGCCCAGCCTCCTGCTCCTGTCTGAGATGGCCCTACCTGAGAAAAGCCCTCGAAGGGCCAGCCCCTCCAGGCAAGCCCTCAGCCCTGGTCTGGAGACAGTGAGAACGGAGACTCCCGTGGCCTCACACCCCTTGTTTATCTAACACTTCCTTGTAAAGGTCAAGCCCTTCAGCAGCACTGATGGGAATAAAAGTATTACTCTTTTGGGACTCTATTGTCCAGGGAGTTTGTTACCTCCCCTTCTAGATGAGGGGCAGGCGGGGCCGCCACTTGGGAAGGATGTGTAAGACCAGGCCTGCCATCCAGGCACCTGCAAGGCCCTGTGTTTGATGATGAGGTTCACTGGACAGATGAGAAATCAAAGTACAGATATGAACCAAGGAATAGACGAGCCAGAACCAGAGCTCAGATCTTAGACCTCAGAGTAGTCCCCTTTCTGAACTAGAGTTTGCCCCATGGGCCCACGTTCCTCTGACTGTGTTCGAGAGAAATGTGATGAGGTCATAGCCATGCAGCCTGGGCCCTGCACTGTCCTCAGCCTCGGGCCCAGAGGTGACACCAGCTCTACTGCAGGTCTGGTGGGGCTGGCCAGAGAAGAAGCTTAGAGACTAAGAAAGAAACCCAAAGAATTGGGAGGAGTCAGCCCACCCCTAACCCCACCTTGCTTCTAACATCTCTGCCACAAGATGCCCATTCACTGGCCATGACGCCCACACCCAGCAAACTTCTTTCCTTGGGCCACTCATGACCATCTCAGATGACCTTTCAAGGGACGGAGGCTCAGAGACTGGTTTCTATTTGAAAGTCTAAGTGGCATTTCAGCATGTCTACAAGCAAACTGTGATCCCTCCCTATATCCATCTCCCCCCCCCCCCCCACTGCTTTTCCATCTCTTTCTCCGTGTCCATGGAAGAGTGGGACTTGACCTTGACTCACATTCTCTATATGTCTCTGTGTGTGTCTCTGTCTTTCTCCCTGGTCCTCCCCCCTCCCCATTCTGGGGGTGAAAACCTAAGCCCTAGAGTCGAGTCCTATTACTATACCCCCGACTCCTTTTTCTCACCCCACATCCAGACCCCGGGAAGTCATATTGTCTTTCCCTTTACAAAGCATTAGTTCTTCCCTTCCCCATAGTGGTCTAGGCCACCACCACCTCTCATCAGACCATTGGGAAAGTTCTTACTGCCATCCTGTCCTTGCAGGCCACCCTCCACAGGACAGCTAAAGAGCCTGTTAAAACAGAAGGCACAACTTTCCTTGACCTGCCCAGAACCTCCACAGGCTTCCAAGTCACTCGGTGCCCACACTGAAGACCCAGCAGCGGCCTGTGTGACTGACTCTACAGTCTGCTCTTTCTTTTTTCTTCTTTTCTTTACTTTTTTTTGTCAGTTGTGGGGCTTGAACTCTGGGCCTGGGCGCTATCCCTCAGCTTTTCAGCTCAAGGCTAGCACTCTACCACTGGATCCACAGCGCCACTTCCAGTTTTCTGGTTGTTTATTGGAGATAAGAGTCTCACGGCCTTTCTCGCCCAGGCTGGCTTTGAACCCTGATCCTCAGATCTCAGCCTCCTAAGTAGCTAGGATTACAGGTGTGAGCCACCAGCACCCAGTTACAGTCTGCTCTTACACAGCTGACGTCCATGTTACTTCTAGGCCTTGCAGGCACATTTCCCACCTCAGGACCATAGCAGGAACATCTAACCACCAAAAGTGGATCTGGCCAGACGCTGGAAGCCCAGCTTCAATGTGGCCTCAGACAAACCCCCATCTGAGTCACTGTTTCCTCTCCTTGTCAGTGCAAGAACTCGAGTCCTCCAGCTCCTCCCAGGCCTTGTGTTCCCACATTTTGCGTTACGGACTCCTGTGAGGCTCCAGCTTGGGATAAGTTTGTACGCTCATACATGTAGACACGCGCAGCTTCATTCGCAGTTTCAAGGATTTTGGAGCCCATAGCACCCCAAATATAACTCATGCTTCTTTGGAGCAGCCCCCTCATATACAAGTTCCCCTTATTTAGAATCAGGAAGGTGAAGCGCTCATGGCTCCTGAGGGGTTCTCCTGCAAAGATCCTTCTGGCTGGATGCAGGGCCCTCTTTGGCCTGTTGAGGCATAGTCATTCCTTTTACCCCTTTGGCAGCCAAAAGCCACACTGCCTTTGCCCTCAGAGGAGGACCCAGACCTACAACACTGCAGGCAGAAATTCTGCCCCACCTATGCTACCCGGTCTGTGGCTCATTCCTATACTTCCTGTCCTTCCTCTCAAGGGCACTTGCACTTGGCAGCTGTTTTATTTGCTTCTCCAGGTACAGACCAAATCCCTCAAAGCTTACCTCTGTCTCTAGGACCAGGCCCTAGGCTGACATAGGGAAAGGGAACCCAGACATACAAGGGGGAGTGGATCAGAGGATAGAACCCTCTGACCTGAGCCCTCAGAGCAACTTCTCTTTCCCAGGGCTTGTCACTGGCCTCCTCTGGCCTCCCACTCTGGCCCTTTGTGACACCCACATACCTGATAAAGCCTTTTGGAGACAAGGCCCCTTCCCTGGCTATGGCTTTAGACCTCTTAGGCTGGGTGGGGAGCATTCCTGGGATTTGAGTGGGGGCCGGTGGAGCCCCTGGGTCACACTGCAAGGGAGCCTGGCTCAGAGGCCAGGAATCCTCAGTACTCAGCCCCCTTCCTCTTCCTGCTTCTGCCTGTGGTGTTCCTACCTGAGAAATGCAATATACAGATCACCAGTGTTTGAGGATCCAGAGGAAAGCTAGGACCCTCCTAACACATATGTGCTTAGACACAGGCCCTATGACAACTGCCGGAGCCCCTGGCTTGAGACCCAACACAGTTGGAGGATGGTGAAGCCGGTGTGAGGATGGAGTAAGCTGGTAGGGAAGCTGAGGGTACCCTGCCTAAAGGCTGAGGACCACGTTGGCACTGAATACACTCAGATCTTATGCTTCCAGATCTCTGCATACTCCGTGTTGATGGCCAACATGTAACTTAAAAATGGAATCTTAGGATGATGGCAGGCATGTAGGCCTCCTCCCATCACACTAGATGGTCAGAAGAGTGTGGATGGCCACTTCCACATGGAATTACGGAGCCCAGACAAGGCCACAATGACCCTGCTAGATGCTCTCCTACCTACCTCATGGCTGCTCGGAGTCACCTCCTTGGAGAGCCATCCTTTAGCTATGCCTGACCTTTTAGAATGAAAAGTCTATGTTCTCGGTCTGGGAGAAGGAAGGGTGCAGGGCTAGGCTTTGGGAAAGAAGACCAAGAGCCCCATTTCAGGATTCAGCAAGTCAGAAGGAATAGGAGCTGGATGGGGGGAAAAAAGAGGGCCAGCATTTTGGACTCAAAGCAGTCCAGTCAGGATCCTGACTCCATCCCAGAAGCCATGGGCACCCTCAGGCCTGGACTTGGACCAGGCCCAGCCTCCATATAGAGGGAATCGAATGTTTTCATTTTGTCTAGCTGGACCCAGGAAGAGGTGTGAGACATAGGGGAGGGAGGCTGAGGCCAATGTCAGCTCCAGGTTCTGTGAAAAAGGGCAATGAAACAGGTGTGGTGGTAGAGTTTGGAGCTAAAAGGACAGAAAGGTCTACAGAGAGGTTCAGGCAAGTAGAACTAATAAACAGCTTAGGATAGGAGCCCTAAGCCTGGTCCATCTGGGGCCTCAGGACACAAGGGAAGTCTACTCAGCCATGGGCTGAATTACCATGGCATTTGGTGGCTTTGTCAGCCCTTGGCTTTGGCAAATATTAGTTCCCTGATCCACCAGAGATGCTAGGAAAGTAGGGGGCAAGCAGGATGAGGTTTTGGCTGTTCAGGGGTGAGGTCTAGTAAAGGTCCAGAGACAGCCTGGGCTGGCAGTCACCCCTGAAAAGGTTTATAACATAAGGCAAGGGAAGCTAGCAGAATCAGGCCTCTTAATGACAAATTTTCTGCTGAACAACTACAAATATTGGCTGTGACTTTGGACACGATCTGAAAAGGACTTTGTTTCCTCTTTTGGTGGTATCATTTGTCTTGTTTTGAAGCCCCAAGATTGCAGGCAGGATCTTACAGACTAAAGTTTGTCTTAATTGCTGTGGTGTCACCACCTCTCTGGCAGATAACAGCACAATGAACGAGTCGATGGGGCTGAGCCCTCCAGGTCCTTCTTCTAAAGTGAGACAAATGTCCCTGCTTTGAGCCCAACAGTCCATCGGCAGCTCTGTCATTTATTTATCTTCCTAACAGTTTGCATTAACTTGCAGAGGATAAAAAGTCTCTCCAGCCTGCAGACTTAGTTAAAGGCAGCCAGTCATTGGACTTGGCTAAGACTTTGTTCTATTTTCCGTTTGTCCCTTCCTTCCTTCCTTCCTTCCTTTCTCTTTTCCTTCCTCCTCTCTTCCTTCTCTTCTGGGCCTAACTAGGACTCTTTTCTATTTTTCCTTCTGATCTTCCTTTCTTGTTTTCTTCCTCTTCCTTTTTTTTTTTTTTTGAATAGGAGTACAAGAACAGTGGTACACATTGGAAAAAGAGATGTGGGCTCAGATGAGAAAGTTCTAAGAAGAAAAATACTGTTTGTCCTGCGGCGTGGATTAGACATGGTAAACTTTACCTTCACCCTGGTCTCTTTCGGGCCTCCCTGAATCCACACAAGGACCAGGGACAACACAATTGTCCCCATGTCCCTGCCCCCCATCACAGAGCTGATGCTCTGCTTCCTAAATGCCTTGAGTCTTCTGTCTCCAACCAGATTCCCGCCCACTCTCTATCCCTCAGCTCCAATACAGTTCCTCTGCATAGAACTTTCCTGCCATCCCATCTGGGCTAGCCTCCATGCAGGTAGAGGAGACCTGCCCATTGGCTCCAATAATGGAATTTAATCTTCTTGTATTATCTTTGGCTAGTTCCTGATGCAGCTTAGAGCATGAGCTGGAGAAGGGGCTTGGATGATTCCCTAGAAACTATACTTAGAAAAATCAAGGGGGCAGGGCAGACAAGGATTCTGAGAACTTCAGTCCTGCCCCTTCTGGCCTCCAACATGTAAATACTGAAGTACAGGTACTGAAACTGCTTCTTAATTGCCTCCCTACTAGTCTACAGGTAACAGATTAGTTAAAACCTATTAATAATCAATAAAATAGTTAAACCTATTCACTAATAGGTCCTATTTTGTAATAAAATACTTTTCTTTTTAAATAGTTTTTTGGTGCCAGTACTG